CAAGAGGTCTGTCTTTCTCACACAACCATAATTTACACTATTGCTAATGTAACTGTATGTTCAGACATAAGTATAACTGCCTCACTCAACAGAAACAAAACCAATTTGGAGCAAGTTACTTGAGTCTCTTGTTAAGTTAAAGAAATCCTTTCAGCTGCCAAATAGGCAATGATCTCCATGTACACTCTCCACTGTTTGTCATCTACTGATTTTATTCCTGTTTGGTTGGGAATTTTTAAGTGCCAATAGAGATTTCATCAATAAGGCAGTCAGTTTTCACTTTTCTGTCAAAGTCCCAGCAACATCAATGTCCAGAGGGAAGTAAGAGCTATAACTGCATTCTGCAAAGCATCAATATGAGTGCCGTAGGAGGGAGTGAAATGTCTTTGTTTACTCCCTAAAAAATGCAATTTCAGGGTGATCTAAACATCTGAGTGAAGGAGTGAATTTGAACAAAGTAGTTTCAGTCAAAAGCAAGTGGGAGGGGAGGAAGGGTTAAGAGGTGGCAGAGGGAAAAACTGATTTTTCAGAAAGGGTGAGTCATTTTGTGCCAGTGTCTCACAAACAAAAAGTTGGACTTTCATTTTGGAGCAGTACCTTGCTTCAAAAGTGAACTTGATGGAATTGTTTTTAAGAAAGTAAAAAAATGAAATGTTTCATTGAAGCCTGCACACACTTGGCAGTGGAAAAGGGTCATTTCATTGAGAAAAAGAGAACGTGTTTCATTTTGAAGGAGGAGGAGAACCTCACCATGGTCCTTTTCAGTTCAGTTATTTCAATGGCCTTTTTGAGTAAATGTCCAACAAAATGCTGCCAGAGATGAAAAAAACAGTAGGCTTTTAAAATTTGTTTTTCAGTGGAAAACCACCAGAATAAAATCCGTGATCTCTTTCCTCAGGGCTCACCAGACCTTCCACTCCAGATTAGCAAAGTCAAAGTGCAGACCATTCCTTAACCTGTAACAAGTGAACTGTGCTGCTCTAACCTACACAACCAATACTTCATAAGAGCTAAGTATCACATCAGATTAAACAAGAAATGAGCTAGTTCCATGATAGCTGCACTGAGCCTAATGGGGACTAGTTCTTCACACAATGCTAGACTCAAAAATATGTAAAGAGTCATAGAGGAATATAAAGGGTATGGATGTCCTCAGGAAATTCATCTTGACTTTTTTCTTTCAGCTCACTATATACTTTCAAAATCTCACCCTTAATGGAAGTGAGGAAGGGGTCTTGGAGAGCTAGTTAATGAAGAGGTTGACCTTGCCTTGCAAGGGAAATAAAGCTCTCTAACTCAGGAAAGGTCCTCTTCTCAGATGAAGGACTATCTGGATGTTTGAAGAGTATGACAGCAATCTAAATTCAACCTAGAGAGAGTTTGTGGACAGTTAAGAACTTTTCTAAGCCTCCAGGCTGATGGACACATTCAGAGATACAGTCACTATGGAAAGACCTGAGAAGAGCTGGGACCTGTTCTTTAAGAAGCTTAAGTACAGATATCCCAGCAACAGATAAGACTTCTGAACCAGAATCTGCTGCAGAATGCACCACACTGTAAAACAAGTTGTTAAGCCTGGGGAATGGGCTGGAAAAACTTTAGTATTGTTTTACATATTTAAGCCGCTCCCAGCAGAGCACTGATGTGAAGCAACTATGATTTGTACCAACAGGAAAATTTATTTCTCAAAGATAGGCTGAAAACCACTCCATGTAAACTTCACTGCACAAAATACTACATGAACTTGAAAGCTATGTCACAGTGACCTACACTAAAATAAAAGGACCCCTTTAGTGACAGTACATCTTTCCACTATTTCCCATCCAGTGACTTTCTCTCACCTTGAAGAGCTGGCCTCAATACTGATTCCTGAAATCATCATATGAAGAAGTTAATGGCTGTTGGCTAATGACAAAAATGCAAATTATCAAGCTAAGTCTTCAGCAATGCTTGATTAAAGTATCTCCAGCATTATTTAAAATCTCTAATCTCTTTCAAAAAAGGAGGCTGTATCGGAGAGATTTGGTCATGTTCATTCACTTCCTGCAGTCCACAATGAAGTCACCAACACCAGGATGCTTAACAGCAAAGATTGAAGGAACTTAATAAGGGGCTTCAGTCCAAGTAAAAAATTACTCTTAACACCTGTACAAACCTAGATATAAACTAGGTCTTATTGAGAATTATGGAAGGTGAATAGCACTGAGAAATGAAACCTCACTCAAAAAAACCCAAACCCTTCAGCATTAAGACTTTGCCTCTCTGAGGCAGGCCACAGTAGTTCCAAGAGCTTCAGCACACTGCCCAGTTTATGTTCAAAGTGTATTGCCTTTTCCATAGCAGTGCCATTGTTGGTTTGTAGATCATTTAAAGTTACCATAGCTGTCTTAGGCAACATTAGGCAAAACTGTTTCTAATTATTGATGGCAATATTAGCCACAACACCATGCTCCAGAAATATGTGGTTTTTTAAAGGTAAATGCCATCCTTCTCCCACCATGGTCCACCCACCATGGAATCATGAGGAATTACAGGCTACGAAGACATGAAATAACAGATGAGATAGTGTAAGTTTCTAACACACACAGCAAAAGGCTTTGTTGAAACAGCAGAAAATACAGTCAAGTCTTAAAAAATATACTGGTGAAATTAAGATGCCACAGATGGATGGCTCTCATCTTACGTCATTAAAATCAAAGATAGGACTTAACTGTGGCAAATGTCCAGCTTTAGTGCAGCAAACAAAATACAATCTTTATACAATAATTTCCAAGGGATAGTGGAGATCTTAGAAACATCAAGCTACAATTTGGACAAACCCAGACAAAGCTAAGGGGAGTAGTCATTGCTTTATGTAGTTGAGGTCTTACTCATCCATCTTCAACACCATGAATGGGACGGGATATGAGAAGTCTATGTCATTGCTAATGAGCATTAAAAGCTTGGTTTCAGAGACAAAGTGTTATAGGGGCTTTTTATCATTGGTAGGCTGATGGATCTAAATACAAGCAGGGCTCACAGATCCAGGATGCAAATTTTTATCTGATTGCAGGCAAAAGTTTGGAATAAATCTTAAACTAGTGCAATATTCTAGTTCAGGTTAAAGCAAATTAGCTGATGCTGTTTTTATTCCACCCAGAGAGCTCAGGATCCCAGCCCTCAGCTTTGCCAGCCTTCATCTCAGTCTCAGCCCAGGGAAACCTTGGTTTTGGGGGCACCCATTTACTTCCACAATGCTAGCAGACATTTTTACTTGCTCCTGCTGCCATGTCTCACTCTCACTGGCAAGAGCCATTCTCTAAATGGGAAAATAAGATTTATTTATGTGAGCATAAATCTGCTCAGGGACTTAGGGAACAGCGGTATTTTTTTCTGTTCAGATAATTTCTGCAAAATTAAAATTTTGTTTAGAACATTTCTATTTCCAGGCCTGTGGCTTAAAAAAAGAAAGAAAAAAGTGCATCCCTTACACTGGAGACAATGAAAATGACAACTGAGAATGGGAGATGACCTACTGAACAAGAAAAGTGTACTGATGCCTTTTTCCTTCCTTCCTTCCTTTCTTCCTTCCTTCCATGCATTCATCCATCATATATCCTCCCTCCCTTTCTCTGATTTGGGGTAGGAAAAAAAAATTACTTGCCCCCCATGAATCCTTACAGAAGAGTAGTTCTGTAGGCTTGCAGCTCAGATTGTTGTAAGAGTATCTGAGATCAAATCACAGAAAGGAAATTGGAACTTGTTAGGAGGGGCTTTAAACCCATCAATCCCATCACTTAATGTAAACTCTAAGGAGACTACCACAGCTACCTTCTAGGGCATGGCTCAGAAATACAGATAGCACCCTACCCTGTCTTTTCAGCTGCCTCTGGGCCCCAGTGCCCAGTCACAGAACAGCTGAGGACAATACAGTAAGGAGCCCATGAACTGTTCTGTTGGAACTCAAACAGGTTCCCAAGAGCCACAGTGACTGAGGACAGCAAAGGTACCTGAAACTGCCTTTTTGTTTCCTCCTTCCTCCAATGAAAAAGAAAACAAAAATTGGTACAAACCCTTTTAGATTACTTTCTTGACAAGAGTCTGCTAAGGTCAGAAGGGAGAAAGAATTTCTTGTAATTCTAGAGTGTACCTTGAGAAAAGTTAATTACTGCAGTATGCATGATGCCTCTCTCCAATCAAGTAAATAAACGTACGCGTAGACTAAGTGCTAACTGGTGAAACAAGAGATTGCATATATTCATGCTTTGACATTATTAAATCGTAGAGAGTATTGGGATGGGGGTTCAAAATCAGTTACTACGGGTCAAATAATACAGATTACTTCTGTGCATTGGCCAAAGGCCTTGCACAGGTAAAGATAAGGTCTGAAGGCAAGCAGTGAAGTTTTCAAGTCATAGTCACCTGAAGAAAGAGTGAAGAAACAAAACACTAATGGAAATTGAAATTACATGTGAAAAATAAAACTTTATAGGGAAAGGCTATAAAAGATGACCAAGGAGAGTTAATTCTCTGCTGCAAAGAAACACACTCTATCGCACACAGATTTTAAAAATCAGGCAGGTACAACAGAGCTTCATAAAAAGTAACAGCAAAGCATATTAGGGAAGAGGTCACACACAGAGTTTCCTAAAAAGATGGCATCTAATCTGAAACAGTATTTCCTCTTTCTCTTTCCATTCTATACAACCATACCATTAATCTAATATATGCAAAGGGAAAGGGAAGATTCATGTCAGCTCTGTAAAATGCAGCAAAGGGAACCGCAGTTTCCAGTTACTCTAGTGACTGGATTAGAAAGAGCATAGGTAGGGGCAGGAATCTTTAAGCAGTGTCACTAAAATCTATACAAACAGGTATCATATAATATAGACTCCACTTTTGATTTGAAATTACCTTAATGCATCTCTATTAATCTCATGAAGAAGACTATTAAAATACGAACACTTTTAGGAAGATCCTCTATTATCACCAAATAATAGAAAAGCCTCTTAAAATGAGTCCTACACAAAAGCACTTTTTGATTTCCTGCCTACCTTCACTATAGCAAGCAACAGGACCAGTTTCTGCAGTCCAATGAATGGAGAAGAGAAAGTAAAGACAAAAATGAAGATAATTCTTGGTTAAGGTAATGGTTCATTAAAAAATACCAAAACAAAAATCTGGGGACAAAAGTAATAATTTACAAAATGGAAAAGGGAAACAAAATTAATAGAGGAGGAAGTTTTATTTTAAGCTTCAAAGAGAGTATTATAAACAATGGAGAGTTTAGAAAAGTATATGTACAAGTACTCAACAATGTCTTTTTAAAAGAAGATTATTTGTACTAAAAAAGACCTTATGGAATTGGTTCGATAAAGTAGTATTTACAGAGGAATATACAGTAGGGACATTGGAAGCAGAACTTTTATTTCGAAGGAATATTACACAAACTGAACAGAGACCCTACAGTTTAAAAATCTTCATTACAGTTGTGCGTCTTATATTTTGAAGAAATGAAACTATTTTTTTTTTCTCTAGAGGCCGTTTACCACTACAAGTTTAGAAACCAACAAAATGAATGAAACAAACCCATCCTGCTAAAGAGCTCAATGAGGACACAAATTTTGTCATTTAATTTAGCTGGAGCAGGATTCAGGTCTGCTGGACATCTTACATGACTATTTTTGGCCCTATGAGTTAATCTGGGAAGAAACAGGAGAAGGAGAAGGGAGAAGGGTACAAAATCTTCTGCTACTGACACATGGAAACTTCTTACTGATGTGAGTTTGAGCTCTAGGTGTGCAAGAAACACGATGCAGGGTCAGCTTCACCTAGCCAGGATGAATTTTTGTAGATATAGCTTTTTTCACTCTGAAAGCCAACTTAAGCCACATAAACAAAGCTAATTTTTTTTCTGTCTATACCTTGGGTGGTTATACTAATACCTTTTGGTATGGTTTGCCCTCAGTTTGCCTCTCCTCTGTAACAGGGGTGTCAGACATCTGGCACCCCTGTTACAGAGGAGAAGCTAATCTGAGAGCCAAGTCCAATACTCTTCTAGGACACAAGGCTATCCTGCATCTCTACTACACTGCATCACATGACACTAACAGTGCTGTGCTATCCTTTGTGAGCAGATTTGGCAGCCAGCAAAACCCTCCAGTGCTTGTTTGAAGCAGAATATCTTTTTTTTTCACTGAGAAAATGCCTCACAACTTAGAATTTGGGGTGTGAACATCCCTCACTGCTGCCTTACAGGACAATTTAGAATTGCAGCTGTGGGAACTCACATTCTTCTCCAGCTGAGTAACCCCTGTTGCTTATTGCTGACATATGGGTGCACCTGTACACTTTTCAAAGTCCACTACCACTTAAGGAAGGGCTAAAGTAAACAAGTTTTCTACACTGGCATCATCCTTGACAGAAAGATCCATGCCAAGAGCACTTAACATTGAGATACCTCCTTTACAGACAAATCACAATGAGCTGTGGAATTACCAAAGCAAAAAATAATATCAAAATTAACAGAGTTGCTTTCATTTTTGAAACCCCTCTTTCAGCAGAAGTATTTCTCAGAGTTGCTCAAGAGCAAACCTCTTTTAACATGCAGAAGAGACACATCAATCCTGTTGGGAGAAGACAGTCCTTTGAAACAGACATAAAATCTGGTAACAAAAAAATTCAGCCACTGAGCCTGGTCTTTGCTAATCCAACAGTTTTTGTTTAGATTTGTGCCTAACACAGTACAGCAAAGTAAGTTTTAAGCATCTAACAGGATAATATTATTAAGGAGAAAGTAAACCAGAACAATCTTCACTTACCACATCCAATTTTCAAAAAACAAAGATACACAGCACATGTATGAATGGCTTCTTTAAAGCAAGAGAGCAGAGTTGACCTTTATTTTCATTATTTAAAAAAAGTTTTTTCCTCAAAGTAAATATTCAGTCTTTATTTTACAGTAAGTGCTTTTTAAAATTTCATGTCTTCACAAAATTGCATTTAAAATTTGAAGTAAAATGTATTTCAAACAAAAATACTGTGCAACTTTAGCACTTCTTTTCTTTCTTAAATATCGAAATAAATAAAATAGTTGTCTTTTTCAGTTTGTTTGTTTTTCAGTCAGTTCTACTGTAGATCAATTCCAGTTTGACCTGGGTTTATACACACACTTAAAAGAAAGTGAAATCAAGACTTCAAAAAACTTCTTTGTATTGCACCAGCTTAGGGCATCCCCAGGACTTCTCTCAACAGTTGGCAGCCAACTTCCCACAGTCCAGGCTCCTGTGCCAGATGGAACACGGGTACAGAAGAGTTAGGGCAAGGAAAGAAGTATCAAAGCATCCTGGCTTCTCTTGGTCTTCTGAAATGTCTTGCTTGAAGGATGCTGGAGTCCATGAGGGCAGGCCTGACTGCAGAGGGAAAGGCAATACAAAGTAAAACTAAACAAACTCAAACAGACAACAAAAGCAAGTTTTCAGAGAAAAAACAGAAGCAGCACAAACCAAAATTCCAACACTGATTACCTTCTAGTTCTTTGAAAATGTAACTCAACAGACTCAGTTTCAACTGATCATGGAAGCCATAAATTAATACAAACAAACAAATCAGATATGAAAGAGCATATCCAAGAGAAAAGCACTGAACCAGTCAATCTTTCTTATTGTGAACAACATTAAATGACCTTCATCATTCAGCTTAGGTAACTGTCTTTTCATTGACGGTAAGGCCTTTGCTTATGAAATCCTGCACTGATTACCTTGCTATATTATGAATTATTTGTAGGGAGCCACAAGCGTATGCAGCATGGCACAAAAGACATTTTCAGAAGTCTGAACAATACTCATGGTGTGGCAGCAATGTGATAACTCCTGGAAAGAATGAAAGATTGCATTTTGCATTGCATTTATTCCATGAATTGACTAACTTACATGCTGCTAAGCTCCTGAACAAGATTAGATAGCAAATAAAATAATCTCTTTATTTCCACAAAATGCAAGTGCCTCCCCCCATGTCTTCCCCACATCTTTCATATCAGTTCTGGACTATACAAAGGTCCAAAATCTTAGAAGCTGCCAATGACCAAAAGAATAAGTCAAAGATATGAACTGGCAGCATCCGCTTAAGAGGGCTATCAGAACTTGAAATCCCAACAGCTGGGGTTTTTTTCTAGATGTTATTACAACTTGTCTTCTCTGAAATTGGAAACTTAGCACTCATGGAAATACAAACAGGGACATGAAAATAGTTCTGACCCAATTTCAGTATTCTATGGTATTTATTTAGGTTGGGGTTTTTTTCAACACTGGTAGATATCTGGCAAGGAGAACAAAGATTGGTAGGGTTTATTGTAATGGCTCAGTCAGCAAAAATTCAGGCTGGCTACATTCCTGCACTGTGAAGGTTTGTGAAAACAATCCCATGCCAGCATGAACACACGTATGTGCCTCATACTTTACATATACTTATAGCTACAAATTTCATTTAAATAAGAAAAAAACAAAAAACAGAGAATATGAAATGGGTGTTTATTGGAAACATCTACATATGTTGCAGCACAAAAGACACTGGGCAGATTTTGGAGCTTTTATAGTAAGATGACTCCCAGCGGGGTCAATTCAATGTTTGCTTGAGGAATTGATTCAGTAAAACTGAATGCCATGAATGCCTCTGCCATGGGGCAGAGGAAAATTGCACAAGGAGCCAGGCTTTGAAAGTTCCATAGTTTTATGGTATTTGAACTATAATTTCAGGGCCCGTCTCAAAATATCACTGTAAGAACTAACCAAAAAAAGGCAAAGTGGGCAGGAGAGAACGTCACAGCCCAGATTCAGTGACTCTTTGGGTGCATTTCTCATTTGCTCCATGCATCAGTAGGCAGCAAACTGAGTCTCTGTCTTCAATCAAGAGCCTAAGCTGAGGTCTGTAAAATGGCAAACTAGAACTCAAAATGAATAACTAGTGTAAAATCTCAAAGGCAAAACAATGTGGGGAAGGGATTCTAGTAACACATTCTGCTGAAACAAATGGCCATCTCAGAGCTTGTCTACACCATACTAGCAAGAGTATTAACAGGAAGGTTTCATTCAATAAAAGCAATAGCTAAGAAGGCCAGTGGTAATGTTTCTGAAGTCAATGGCAAAGTTCTCTCTGGCCCTTGTTTCAGCAGCCTATGCTCATCATTTATGACCTTACCACATACATACGATGTTATTCCCGGCACCATTACATATTAAAGAAATAAATACCCAGCCCACAAAACTGTGGGGTGCCTGGGCAAAGGGAAGAGACGCAAACTGAAGCAAATCAGATTTCAGTTCCATTCCTGTTCTGCCACATTCCTCACTTTTACTTTTTAACTTCAATGCCAGAAACCTGTATTTTCTTAAAAATTTCCTAATACATATTATTATACTTAAAATTTTATACTATTTTTGTGAAAGAGCTGAGGTCCATCCCTGCCAAAATTTCAACTAATTAAGTGCTACAAAAGGGAGTAGGCTGAGGACCAGTGCACAATCTACATAGCCTTTCTTCTCCCCTATAAGCTGCTCAAGCAGCACGTCACTTCCTTTTTTCTCCTGTTCCCATCTGTGAATCAGAGTTAGCAGAGGACAACTCAGAAAACTATGTGTGTTTTCTAAGATCCTTTAGTATGGAGCAGTAGAAAGGTACCTGAGGAGATGGCTTATATGATTAAACACAGAAAAGTCTGAATTTAGGGCCTGAAATAAAACACCCTTTATTCACCTTTCACATCGAGGCTGTCTTATTTTGGTACATGGTTTGCGTGGGAGCAGGACATTCTTTAGAAAGTCTTGTGCTAACCTTCCTGTAATAAGAAGGACATCTTTGGAGGAGAACTGAAATAGCCAGGGTTGTGATTAATTGAAGGGCTGCAACTTCGAAGATTTTATGAAGAACAGCTGGTCTCATTGAACTGCTGAAATCACTGGGGAATACAGAGCATCACATTCCTTTCTGATTTCAAAGATGACTATTTTTTAGGCACAATCCAGAATTCACATTGAAAATTCTTTTTATGCCTTGCTAGATTGGTTTGGGACCTATGTGTCCTTTAAGATACAATTGACACTGTGCAGTTCCCTAATCAGTGAACTGGCTATGGTAGTGTCAGGGTCCTCTTTCGCAGGTTTTTTTGTTTGGTTTTTCATTTTTTTTAAATTGCACTTACAAAACGTCCTTCTGTATATTTTCTGCCTCATTAACATTGTCATCTTCGCCTCGTCCATCTCAGAGGGTCTTGTGTAGTAGCCCCTTTGCTTTGCTTTCATCTTCAGCTGAGGAGCTACCAACCTCCTTTCCCTGTTCCCAGCCTTCACTCCAGCGCTACATGTCCTGAGAATATTTCAATTCCATATCAACACCCCATTCAATGTTCACTGTTAACACTACTTTACAACCCAGCTTAAACAAGTACTCTTTTAGCTTCCAACTCTCCATCTTCATTTCCTCTCTATGATCAATGCCTTCCTATGGTCCGTACCATACTGCTCAGCCTGCTGGATTAAACTCATGTTGGCTATCTCAGTCCAATAAGACACCTTGAGGAATCCAAGAACTACTTTCTCTCTATAACAATTAATTAATTTTATCTTCCTTCCTGTCTCAGGACTATATTGAACCAGTGACCATCCATATACACATTAATGACATAAATAATGGCGATGGATATTTTTTTATGCTATCTGCAATAAATGTCAGCTGGAAATTTTTATGCACTCTGTGAGCTGTTGTGGTTTCTTTCTGAGGGTACTGTGCTACTCAGTTGTCATGAAGATGTGTGGTTTGGTTGCAAAAGGATTAAGACTGTGTGCATTGTTACAGTAACTGCATTTATGAAAATAAATCAAGACTTAATGAATTATGGGCATCTGATTATTGTTTGTATTCCAAAAGAGCCTAGAATGTGTTAGGCATGGTTCACAAAAGACAATGGTAAGGATTCCATTTGGAAAATATTCTATTTAGGGTATGCCTATTTTGCAGTGGATGCAGTGATTGGAGTTCTTCAGAAAGATGTACTTGGGTAGGTTTCAGCTACCTAGTTCAGGTGCTCCAAGGACCATAGTCAGCATATCAGCGCAGAGCTCAGCATGGGCTGCCACAGCATGGAAGAAGCTGGGTAAATATAGGGCTTAGTAAGTGCTGAGCTGTGTAGTGCTATCCTGCACCACAGGCCAGGTGCAGCTGGCTGGTTCCAGGTGTGTCAGGCCTACACCCCTCAGGCGGTGAAAGGCAGACAAATGAAAATTGAGTTCTTTTTCAAGTCAAGATAATAATTCAAGTCTTCATTACTTCTGTAAGCTTTTCCCTGTCAAAGCTTACTCTGACTGTATTTTGAGGAACACTGGGTAATACTTAAACTTTTCTTAACCTTCTAATTTGTATGACACGACTTCTGCATGGATAGAAGAAGTAGATGTAAGACAGATGCAAGAAATCCTGTTGTTTGTTTACTGTGGATTTAGAGCATTTCTAGGTGCTTGCTCCTTTTCTATTTTCCCTGCTGTTCACACGAGCATGTCAAAAAGTAGCAAGCAAAAAAAAAAAAATGTAAAGGGACAGAATATGATACTAATGCCACAAATGTAAGTGCAGGGATTGAAGGGCAGGAGTATCAGAAAAAATAAATTTGAACTTCATTTTTTAAAATCTGTAACATTTCAGGTTTTTCTGTCGAAAATCCAGGGCACAGAGATTTCACAATTGAGTGAAAGACATTTCAGTTCAGACATACCTTTCAAATCCTGATGTATGTTTCCTCCTTTCTGGGAAAGTCGCTGGGAAGGGAGTCACTCTCTTCTCCATTGCCCTTGGAACTTTATTTAGTATTGCTTTGGTTTTTTTCAAAAGAAGCTATTGAAAAGCAAATAAAGTCTCTCACGAGACACTACAGAGAGAAAAAACAGGGCGACACAGGAAAAAATGCTGTCAATTGAAATTTAAAAATGGAAAGAAAAGTATAGGTGAGGTATTTTTCCATATAATTTCTTCCATGATTCTGCTCCTCCATCTGTTTTGTCTGTGACGCCTATGACTTGCCACTTGTATTCCATCCCTATGCTTGGAAATTGCTGTCCATGAAGTGAAAAGTGAAGAAAACAAAAAAAAAAGAAGTAGAACGGCGTGAGGAAGACATGAAGGGGTGCAGGGAGGAAGAGATCTATTGAGTGTAAAGGTGTCCAAAGGAGATGGAAATGTGTTCCCCAAGGCCATAGTCTTCAATGGTGCTGTTGTATTTTCTGGCTGTTAGCATAGCAGGTGTACAAGAAGAGCCAAACTCCATGCGCTACAGTAAGTGCAAAATCTCGAAACGCAGAAGCCATCATATCAAGGGTTTCCTTGTCCCCTGATAGAGTCCGCCCACAGTGGTTCTCTAGAAACAGTTCTATTATCAAGTAGACATCCATTGCTTTTTTGTTTCTTTTTCTATTTTTATTTAAAAAGTAGTTTTCTAATAATATATAGAATATATAAATAATAATAATAATTAAAAAAACCTATTTGGGTTTGCTTTCTGTTATCCAACCCATCTGTATTTTTTGTGGTTTGCCGATATATATATTAAAAGACAAGAAAATCAACTCTGCTCACTATTAAAAAAAATATTAAATCCACTTTTTATGTTTCCAAAGAGAAAGAGAAGGAGGGGAGGTGGGATAAAATCAAATTAAAATGAAAAAAAAAATAAAAACAAAACCCTCAAAAAAACAGGAAAATCAAAACCTTCTGTCTCTTCAAAGTAGTTGTCAAGAGCTTTAAAAGCTTGTGCTTTCAGTGTACACCCCACAGGAAAAACAACAAAAATAACAAAAATAACAACAACAACAATAACAAAAAAACCCAAGGACCTAAAATTAAAAAAAGAAAAAGGTAATAATAATCTTAGTAGTAAAAAGGACAGCAAATCGTTCAGAGTTTCTGTGTCTTTTTAGTTATTTTAGCAGCCGCCCTTTTTGTCTGCAGAGGGAGAGCTGCCACCACAGCCACCTCCTCGGTTCGAGAGAGGCTCTTCTGCATCGTCCTCGTCAAAGCCATGAAAGGTCGAGGTGTCGCTTTCTGACGTGGAACCGAACAAGTCCTCCGTAGTGCATGCTGGCGCTGCTTCATCCCTCCTGCCTTCTCTTCCCAAATGAGCTGACATGTATGATGAATATATCAGCACATGGGTTAAGCAACAGGCATTATCATCATAATTTTTTTAATTATCATTTAATTATCATTAAAAAAATCAGACTATCGAGCTCATAGGTGTGTGCTTGTATGTGCCCGCACACCTCAGCAACATAGCATAGGAAGAACTGCAGTAAGAGAAATAACAAAGGATCAGTTTCTGCTTCAAAGACATCTACAAACACTACAGGTGCCCATAGCTACAGCAGCGAAAGGGTTAATCATGTTTTCCTCTCTTCAAAAGACAGTAAAATATTTCCTCATGATTACTGAGATCAATTTTTAAATATTTTTAGACCATATAAGTAATTAAACACTGTTAGCTATAAGCACGATGACTTCAGACTGGCATCAACTGTCACAAATTTACTGCTATAGAAACGTAAACCTCATCAGTCTCAGGACTATTTTTTGTCCCCATGCTTCATCTGAGCCTAAAGAACCTCTTCGGTAGACAAAACGAAATACATTTTGAAGACTAAGTGAAATTAGCTTAAACCAATACTGTTATGCAAATTCCATGGCATGTCCTTCAAAAATAAAAAAACCTCCAAAACTAATATATACAGTTCAACAACTAAAACAACTGAGATGAAGAATGACCCATCTTGGGGAACACTGAAAAGTTCAAATGTGTGTGAGTCAATCCAACTTTCAGTATGGAGCAGGAAATTCTCCACACAGGACATCAATAATTGCAACAACAACAACAACAACAACAAGACTCTTAAAAAGAGAAGTCAAATACTGAAATCTGCAAAACTGAGATTTATTTTCTCTCTCAATCAAACTTGTTATGTGATTAATAGTACAGCCTTCAAATTCCCTCTTCAAGAAAGACTGGCCCAGCAAAATTCAAGTGTGAGATTTTAGGGAACAGCTATTTTCTTATTCAGAAACAGTGAATGGTATTAAGCAACCATTTGGTCTCTGCTCCAGCTACAAGGAATCAGCCATATAAGAAGTACACTGCATTGCTTGAGACACAAAGAATTAAATACTGTTCACAAAAAAAAAAGACAATGGATATAGCAAAATAACTGGTAGATGAACCACCTTGTAGGTATGTGATTTTACTGACTTTGTGAACAGAAAAGACAATATAATTTCCATGAGCTCTCTTTCATAAATTTTCTCCATTATCAAGAAAGATGGGAGGCACCAAAAAGGTTTCATTGTTTTAGTTTAGAGATTAGTGTGTGGTTGTACCTTAATCACTTTCATCACACATCAGTCACAGCATTGCAGACCCCTATGAATGACTCAAGTGGGTCAGAATTTGTACAAGGATAATGTTTAAGGGAACTGACTTTGCACAATTTAGGTTATGTGCTGATCTACTTGTTCTATCACACTAAGAAATCAAGGCAATTAATGTATTTGTGTTACATTCTGATATAATCACTATAGCAATGTTTAAATAGCAAAAAAATATAGATCTATCTCACTGTGCCATATCAGGACAATGCTGAAATTAGTTATATTGTAATATAACAATCAAGGAGAAGAGCAATGATCTTCCAAGATGGCACCACAGCCCTCGCGAACTTCCCCTTTCTATTATTACAAAGCAATCACATACACACTAAAAGGTCCGTGTCCCTGACAGCACAGCATTTGTAAGGATGCCCCTGAAGAAAACCAAAGGGGTTGCCATTGATCCTCTGGTGACCAGTCAGTATCATTTCAGAATATCCTCAGAGGTCACAACAATTGCAGAAGGCAATTTGTCATTGAGAGTCTAGTCCTTCTCCCATTGAATGTAGTAATAGACTTTCTATGAATTTCAGCAGGAGCATAAAAAGGCCATTTCCTTGGCATGAAAACATTGCACATCGCATTTCAGCCACAAAGCAACAGACATCTTTCAATGACTACAGTACAGAAGGAGCAGCAGCCATACTGAATTTCAAGGCCTCTTTGGTTTTCAGATTTCCATATGATTGTCTTATCACCACTAGTATCACCACTGTACAAAAATACCACAACTGAAAACTTGGACCAAAGCTGGAATATGCAGTTGTTAAAAGTCTTGTATTCCCTCTACCATTGCCACCACCTCCTACATGAGCTATAAATAACTGTTCAACTGGTATAAAATTTCCCAAAAAAGACAAAGAGAAAAAAAAGAAAGAAAAGAAGGAAGAAAACAACAACCCAGAAATAAAGACAACTCAGAATGGGAAAGACACAATTACCTACATTTAAAAAGAGAGAAGGGAAGAAAAGGGAGAAATAAAAACCTCTTTAAACAAAACTAATGATAGTCATCTTGTAAGAGGATAATTCTTGACAGCTACCCCCACCCCTACCCTATAATTTCCTCCCTCTTTCTTTTTTGGATGAAGAAATGCATGAAATGTGTAATCAATGGAAATGCTTGTCATGCAACTTTCATAAACCTTGTAAGTAATTCATAGTTGTAATTGTAGCATTTGAAGACAGAAACCATTCTTTAACATTGTCACAGGATTTTCTCCTTCCGTATGAAGAACAACTAATACACGTACCAATGTTCCCAAAAGCCAATAAATACATTGAAACTTTATTATTTCATAAGACCCCATTAGCTTAAAAATGTGAATCCAACAATAGGTTCTATGACAGAAAATTTCCCAGTCATCCTTTCCCACAAACACAGAGAAGAGGTAAGATTTCATTTTCTATCCCTTTCCAAATGTGCTGCCTTTCTTCAAAATCTTCAGAAGGTGCAAAAACCAAATCACACAAATGCCTTTGTACAAGAAAGATACAAGAAGGAGTCACTTACCAGAGCGCCCACAGTCTGAGCATGATACAAGTTCCTCAGGCCGACCACTTTTTTTGTTCATATTGGAGCCTCCGAGGCAGAAGTCACAGTAGTTATTGGGAATGATGACCCCATCTGGTCCTTTCTGGGCTGCAGTCAGGTTAGAAATCAGATTTACTCAAAGAGCACTCATTTAGACATTTCCCCCTTCTACTTGATATGATGTTAGCTCAGTGAATTTGCAGGCCACTGTCTTCCCAAAACATTGTCAATCAGAACAAAAAATGAACTGCATAAACCACCTCCATTTTAAGTACACCTGCTATTGTATCTCTTTTTGCCTGAAATGCCCTTCACCACTTCCTTTATAATCCCAGCCAGGCTGCTTTCTCACAAGGGCGTGCTTCCAGATATGTCTTTACAGTTCAGGGACCCTGTAACACGTACAGGCATAGAGACAACCTCTAATGCAGAATCAGACCTATGCTGTCAGTAAGCCAAGCCTGGTTTTCAGGCAGCACTCATCATTGTAAACCCACAAAATACAAATTCAGAATGGAAAAATACAATCTCCAAAACTCAAAAACCAACAGCAGGGAGATTGCGGGGACAGGAACCCTTACTGGTTTTATTTCAAGCAGGTTTTTAGGGAACTACATCTCTACGTGGCAAGGTGTCCTTAGTCAAAAAGTTGGTCGAAATGCTCATGAATATTCACAGGCAAAGCCATTTGGGGTGTTTTGCCAAACGCTTAAGCCACCTGCAGCAGTCATGCCCCCTGGGATTAGCAGGGAGGGCAGCAGATCCAGCACTATCCCAGCACCCAGCACAGGTGCAGAGTCAGCCTGGGGCAGACATCCCAGCCAACAGAGTTAAAAACTCTTTCAGTCAAGAAAAAAAGGAGGGAGGTTATATATTCTTATTTTTCAGCTAGGAATAGTTGGAAAGGAGCAAACACACATTGGTCTTAAGTAGAGGAGGGGACAGATCCCCTAGGAAAGAGAGAAGGGCAGAGGTCTTTTGCATTCCTCTGAGTTGACCAGAACAGAAATGTGCTTTTTTTCTTGCTCACAACTGCCATTTTTCTCCTCTGCTCTCCAGGGAGGGAAAACTTCTTGTTCCTGTACAGTCTAACTAGGAACTGGGGAAGGGACAAGGGAGTGGAGGGAATGATTGGCCTTTGCCTTTATTTCTTCTCTTTGAACTTAAAAAATCCAGTAGAATACCTAGCCTAAGCCTACTCCATGAAGATTTCTACAAACTAAAAAATTAAGAACTTTAAACTGTATCATCTATATTTAATTATCTTTTTAATGCATATTTTATAACTTGAAGATTTTTAACAGATGTTTTGACAGCCTTTATTAATGGTCTTTTTGTCCACATTCAAATTTCCCCCAAAGAACAATGACATTCTAAAGGGCTTCTGGTAACAGTCCAAGACATACACTTAAAATTAAAATTTCCTCCAAGTTCAATCTGTTTTTCTGATTTGGTGCATCTATTTATTAATTTATTTCCAGCTGTTGATTAGCTGAACTTTTTGGAGTTCGGTAACTGAAAGATTGCAGGAAAGGTGGAAGTAAGAAGAAAATTAAACTCATAAGGCTGCAAATACGGCAATATCTTCCTGCATGGTCACTGAGTCCCTGAAAGTATTTACTAAACAATGGATTTTGCTCTGAAATGGTCCTAGTTAACAGATCCATAGCTCTCTCAAAAACAGAGAGAAGCTTGCAGTGTTGGATTAGTATTTTGCCTGTTCACAGAGAGGCATTTAGTATGTACATGCAAGATAAGCAAAAAAAGAACAGAAACCAGGTGGAAGCCCAGTCACCAGCTCATTTTAAGAGCTGTAACAAAATGATCATAAAGTTGCTGCTTGTACATATCTTGTATATAAAAAGCAGATCTCCCTAGCATTTCTTTTTCCCACTGCAGCCACATTTCGAAAAAGTTAAGTAATTACATCTTTATATTATTCTGCATCTACAGACAGGCCATGTGCAATGCAAACTCAGCAAGCTCAGCATTCACTGACTTTTTTGGGTTATTGTTCCTTATTACATTACTTCACCTTTCATCCAAGTGTCTTAAAGCCCCTTACAGATACTAAGATCTTGTTATTAACCTTCGGTGAGGTCAAAAGCCTCTTTTGCCATTGACTCTAACCAAAGTGTTCTGGACTCTAATTAAAGTCTTGTGGTGAGGTCACATTGCATTTTAAAGATGAAAGACTTGGAGGTAGAGTGGTGAACTGGCTTACTCACAAACACACAACAATTCTGTGGTGAGGCCACAAATAAAAACAAGCATTTGGGGTGACAGCCAGCAGACTTAGGAAAGAGCTCCACTTCTGCCACTGCTCATAATGGTATAATTGACTTAACACTCTGCATATACTGACTTAATTTTTTTCAGCGTGGATTATGACCCTAAGATCCACTGACTATCAAACTGGAAATGGAAAGGGGGACTTTGTGAAAATACAAACACTCATTAATTTGTCTGTGGTGTGTGGGAGAGGTGAAGGGTATTTGCTGACTATGGTGAAGCTGAAGGGATTCTCCGAGGCTGTTGGCAAGGGAATAAGCATGGGTTTTGATGGTGTCGGGCTGGTGGGAGGGGGAGTGGCGGGTAGGGGAGTGGGAGGGTAGGGGATGGAGGGTCGTGGCGGGAGGGGCGGGGAGTTGAGGTCGGTGCGTGTCGGGGCTGGTTGGCGCTTTGCGTTGCGTGGCTTTGAGTGGGCTTGCTGTTGTGATTGGAGGGGGGGGCGGGGTGTGGCCGAGGGATGGGTAGTTGGTTGAGTGGGCGGTGAGGGGAGGGCGTTGAGTGGAGTGCTGGTGAGGGTAGGTGGCTGGGCAGGTGCTGGGTAGGGCGGGTCTTTTTATTTCTTTTCTTTTCTTTTCTGTTCTGTTCTTTTCTTTTCTTTTCTTTTCTTTTCTTTTCTTTTCTCTTCTCTTCTCTTCTCTTCTCTTCTCTTCTCTTCTCTTCTCTTCTCTTCTCTTCTCTTTGCTTTTTTCCATTCTTTTCTTCCAATTTAATTACATTTTAATGTGAGTGCCTATGTGGTTACTTATTGCTCATCACTTACAAATATGGACCTGGCCTACACAGATAGAGTGTGATAGAGATACCAGACATGAAAAGTAATACACAGATGAGAAATCCCTGAAGTTACATCAATGATATCTTAAATTATGTATCTCTGGAGCCAAATAAGCCAAGCAATGCTATTTTCTTCATTTTTTTTTTTGTTCTAACAGGTGTAAAAACTAGAATCAAATGTGACATAAGCTTATTTTGTTGATCAGTACCATACAGTGAACTAAGCCATAGGCTAAATCAGAGAAGGTTTGAGAATAAAGAGATTTTCAGATGATAGTAAGCAGAGTTCCTACGTTCAAAGGATTTTTTTATGTCCTTGGAGTTTCTAGTTCTGTTTTACTCTTGTTCACAAATGATGAAGGAAACAAAGCAAAGATGGCAGGATTTAACGTGCAGTAGTCACGAAAAGGGTATGATTCACAGAAAGCCAACGCTAATCCCACCGCTTAATCAATAAAATTACTTACAAAACTAACTATGGGAATGAATCCACAAGTGAAAGCAATTGAATTTCTAGAGATGTTGCTGCTTTTCATCTGAGACATAATAATTATCTAAGCATCCACTTTTTGCACAAGTTAATCACCACGTAGAAGGTGTTAGCATAAGCCAGACAAATAGCTCAGCTAGCAAGAAGTAACTCTTTAGCAGTGAGCTGAATCGTTTTGATCAGATGACTGCCACTAGGGATTCTGTCAAAAAAGTGTTCAGCCAGAGTCAGAAACTGTTTTAAAGCAAAGGCTTGAAAACCAACCATGGTCTTGTCCTAACTTACTCAAAACTCCTCTTTTACATTGCAAACTGCAACAACAGATCAAAAGCTGTGAGGAACTTTGAGGCGTACTGCCTGAGCTAGGGTGTGCTCACAGGGCGTGTATTTAAATCAGTGCCTCTTGCTATTTCAACTCAGTGTCGCTTCTGTTTCATCAAAGGCCTTGTCTTCATCTACATCTGTCCCAAAATAAATACGGTATACAATTTTTTTAAAATACTTTAAAAAGTTTAAAAATGAATTAAGGAGAGACATGGAAAGATCTGCACAGTTCAAATAATAGTTTCTTTGAACCTGAAAGGTGATTCATGGGAAGACAGGATGCAGACTGAGAATAAAGTCAATATTTCCAAATAAATTTGGTATGCATTTATTCTGAAATATTTTTTTTCTTCCTAGCCTAATCAAGTTCATTTTAAACTATAACAAGTTAAGCAGCATAAAGAACTACTTAAAATATGGTACCATCATTCACAGGAGTCTTTTTGCAAAGTAAGTTCTGTAAATTAAATAAAGTCTGTAGTATATCACACAGTAACTTTGTTCTGTAGACAAAACTTGAAAAACTAAACAAATCAACTGAGTTTAAATATATAAAATAACTTCTGTGCCTTCTTGATTTTGAAAGCAGGGGCTTTACACAGAGTTCTAGCTTCCCTTTATCCCTCCCAAGTAATCAAAAAACCTGTAAGTTATGTTCCTCATGGTTTCAGTTTAATAATCAAACCAAATCACAGTCACATATATTTCTTCAGCCTGTAGGTAATAGAACATAAATGCTTAACCATAATTTAAGCAGTGCATCTAGGTTTGGCAGCATATTATCCCTATTTTTTATCATATCCACATTACTGGGAAGGCAGCAGAGAGCGTGTGGAGTGCACGCCTCGCTGTTAGGGTGGGGGGCTGTGCATCATTTATTTAAATGACTACAGTGAATTAGCTACAGTCAGACATGTATGCACTTCCAAAGGGATTTTTTTCTAGCACGTTTTGTCCAGCTCTTACCTGCTGCTTCTGAGTTTCATCCAAAACCAATAAAGTCCACTGTAGGTTTTCAATTCAATTCAAAAGGTTTCAAATCAGGCCATTTACTCTGTTAGCAAAAAGGATCTTTAGACAACAATTGAGACCACGGGACCCAGCGTGTAGGCCTGAATCAAGTCAATGCACTTCACCATGGAGGAAAAGGGGTGGATTTGCTTTTTTTGTTGGTGTTTTTGTTTTGTTTAATTTACAAGACTCTTTGTCTGAGATAGTGCCAGTTTTC